GCTGGTTGGCAAGGCTTAAACAAATGTTATTTTGTAAAGAAATTCACAAATAACATTATCACTGTCTTGTCTTTTTTTTTTTTTTTGGTCAATTTGTCTTTCGGTAGTAACGTAATATTCTTCATTGTGGCTTCTTCTAACGTGATGCATACCAGTCTACTTAAGGTCAGCAAATACTGTTCACTTTCTCTAATGAAGTCCTTTTTTCACTCTGACATTATCCGGGGATGTCTTCATTATAGAAATTACACTGCATTCAATCACACACATGGTGATCCTTTTGTCCCAGCATCCGAGGCAATCCCAGCACCTTCACAGCACCAGCATCTCTCCAAGAGCCTTCCCAAAGAAAAGGGCCATTCAGACCATCCTGCTGTTAGTGAGCTACTTTGTGTTCTGAGAGGACCTCATCATATCATCCTCTTCAACCCTACTGTGGACATATAACCCAGTCATCCTGAGTGTGCGGAACCTGGTGGGCAATGTCTATGCCACTGTTGCTCCACTGGTACAAATTAGCTGATAAAAGGATAGCTGACATTCTCCAAAATATGCAAAGTGCTATAAAGTTTTAACAAGTTAGCAATGGAAAACATTTCTAAATACTAGTCTTATCCTATAAGTTGTTCAAGTAGCCTTGGAATTCTTTTTACCTTACTTAATAAAATGCATGGAATCACACTTTTATTAATATTTATCTGATTTCAAAACGGATGCATCCAAAAACCACGTAATTTCTTTAGTTCAATGTCTACCATGGGTCGACATTTCCATGTCAAGTCTATTACACTTTTATTTTCATTTTATCTTGGTAGCAGAAAATGTTTCTCTCGAAGTATACTCTTAACAATTTTCTATCGGCAATCAAATCTCTCAAAGTTTTTACTTCTGAAAAAATTTAATTTACTCTTATTTATGAAAGACACTTTAGCTAAATATCCAATTTTAGCTTTTATACTATGCTTGTTCATTAGAACATCCCTGACTGGAAATAATATGTCAATTTGGAGTTTACATTTAATCTATAACTTATTTTAATGGGTTTAAAATAAAATTTACATGTACATACTTGAGATCTTCTTTATTAATGAAATTTACTTATACATTAACTATAGCCTCCATGAATAAGGTCCTCAGTCCTTATTCATATTATAAAACAGGTTTGTACCATTTGACCAGTATCTGATTCCCCCAAGACACAGCCCTTGGTCACTAGCATTCTAGTGTCTGTAACTATAATTCAAACCCTTTTTCAGACTCCACATATAATTGAGATAATGCAGTGTTCTTCTTTCTGTGTCTGACTTATTTCACTTAGCCTAATGACCTCAAGATGATCCATGTGGTTGCAAATGGCAAGTTTTTTTTCAAGGACTGAACTGTGACACACACATACACACATGTGCACACATGCACATACATATATGTTAAATTTCCTTTTGGTTGTTGTTAAGATACAACAACAGGCTGGAGTGCAGTGGCGTCATTATAGCTCACAGTAACCTCTGAATTCTGGGTTCAAATTATTCTCCCATCTCAGCCTCCGAAGTAGCAAGGACCACAGGGGTACACCACCATGCCTAGCTAATTTGTAAGGACATGGTCTTGCTATGTTACCCAAGTTGATCTTGAACTTCTGGCCTCAAGTAATCCTACTCCCTCAGCATCCCAAAGCACTGAGATTACAGGTTTGAGCCACCATGCTCAACTATGTAATATTCTGTTTAACTTCTGTGTTAATGGACATTTAGGTTGTCTTCATATCTTATCTATTGTTAATAACGCTTCAATAAACATAGGAGTGAAGATATCTCTTCAATATAGCAATTTTACGTTCCTTGGATATTTACTTAGATGTGAAATTGATGAATCATATGACGGTTTTATTTTTTATTATTTGATGAACCTCCATGCTGTTTTCTATAATGGCTTTACCATTTACATTCCCAGTGATAGTGTACAAAGGTCCCTTTTCTCTACATTCTTGACAACATTTGCTTTCTTTTGAATTTTTGATAAATATCACCTTAATATTTGTTTGAATGAGATCTCATTGTGGTTTTGATTTGCATTTTTCTCATAATTACTAATGGCTTCTTTAAAAGAATAACATTTAGTTTTTGGCTGCTTTTTTAAAAAAGTGTCACTTTTTATTGTTACTTTTATTTTGGGGGGTTAAGTTTCATGAGTTTCTTGCAGATTTTGAATACTAATCCTTTATCTGATATTTGGCGTACAAGTATTTTCCTCCAATTCTGTAAATAGCCTTTTAATGACACTGACTGTCTTTCACCATGCAGTAGACTTTTTAGTTTGATGTAGTCCCACTTTTTTCCTGTGCTTTTGGCATCAAATACAAAAATTTACTGCTAGGACCAATGCCAAAGAATTTTCCTCAGTGTTGTCTTCTAGAAGATTTTTGGTTTCAAGTCCAATGTCTACATCTTTAATATATTTTAAATTAATTTTATGTATGCTGTAAAGGTTGGGTGCAATTTGTTTTTGTATGTGGATATCTCATTTTCCCGACACCATTTATTGAAGAGTTTATTCTTTTTCCATTGTGTATCTGTATGCCTTTGTTGAAAATTCATTGACTGTATACAGATGGATACATATAGCTGAGCTCCCTATTCTGTTCCAGTGGTCTATTTGTTTGTGTTTATGCCAATATTTTGCAGTTTTGATGACTACAGCTTTGCTATATAGCTTGAAATCAGGCAGTGTAATGCTTCTAGCTTTGTCCCTCTTGCTTAAAATTGTTTGGAGTCTTTTATAATTCCACACAAACTGTAGATTTTTTTAGATTTTTGTTGAAAATGCTATTGGAATTCGGATAGAGACTGCTTTAAATAATACACCAATTTGAGTAGTATGAATGTTTTAGTATTAATTTTTCTGATCCATGAACACTAAGTATTTTTAAATGTGTCTTTTCGATAATTGCCTCCATTAATATTTTACAGTTTGTGTTGCACAAATCTTTTACATTCTTTATTATATTTATTCCTAAGTATTAGGTTGGTGCAAATATAATTGTGGTTTTTGCCATTACCAACCTAATACTTTATTCTTTTTGATGTTATGGTAAATGTAACTGTCTTCTTGATTTTTCCCAGGTATTTGTTGTTGGAGTAAAAAAATGCAACTGATTTTCTTTACATTGATACAGTATCCTGCAAACTTCCCTAGTTTACCAGTTCTAAATTTTTTTCATATAATGATGAGCACACTGGCCTGTGTTTACACATTAATTGATAGTATCTATTAAGGTATCACAGTGCCTAGAAGTGTGCTCTGTTGTATTTCTGCTGTGACAAATTCCATAGCATCTTTTAGTTTAATCTTTTCTTAAATGCTTTGGTTTGGTATTTGATAATAATGTGTGTCTTTGGTTACTTTTTAATTGTGAAACATATTGATCTCCATGACTAGTCAAACTTTCTAATAAAGTTCTTTCATAGTTTTATGTATATTTAGTTAATATAAATCAAAATGGTAAATTTTTATGATAGTTTTAAAGTTACTAAGGTTGAAAATATGTCAGTTTTTCACTGGTCATGAGTCTGTGGTTTCCTTATTTCAAACAATTATATACGTCTATATATATATGTGTGTGTTTAATGGCTTACAATCTTGCCCAACATATTTGTATATAGTAAGCAAATACTAATCAAAATTATTAATCAAACTATCATCTTCATATTATTCTTCAAATGGCATATTGTTTGTTCTAATTAAAAACTGTGTTTATGTCTTATATAATTATCAATAAAAATTAGAAAGTCTACTTTGTCTGCCCTCTTGAGAAAATCCAAAGTTAAATGGTATTTTTACTAATTTCCTTTAGAATCACTACCTTATTTTCCTCCACAATAAATGTAAACATTAAGGATAAAATTGTATTTCAATGATCCATTCTACAATAGACTTTGGGTCATTCATTGATTGGGCTGAAGCCTCACTCTATATTATTTCTGATTTTTTCATGTTAACAGCCTAGAAAATCTATTACTCATAGAATATTACAAATTAGAAAATATTTTTTTTTTTTTGAGACAGTCTCGCTCTGTCACACAGGCTGGAGTGCAGTGGCGCGATCTGGGCTCACTGCAATCTCCACATTCCAGGTTCAGGCCATTCTCCAGCCTCAGCCTCCCAACCTCACCTGTAGCTGGGACTACAGGTGCCTGCCACTGCACCTGGCTAATGTTTTGTATTTTTAGTAGAGGCAGGGTTTCACCGTGTTAGCCAAGATGGTCCCGATCTCCTGACCTTGTGATCCACCCGCCTCAGCCTCCCAAAGTGCTGGGATTACAGGTGTGAGCCACTGCACCCAGTCGAGAAATCAATATCTTGGATGTACAAATTATAAAAGTAAACTGAAAAGTATAATATAAAATATACATTTATGTATTATGAATTGTCACTCAAGTAAAGCAGAAATATTAATTTAAAATACTTTCACAAAGAAAAGTCCAGGGCAAAATAACCTATGTAAAACATTCTACCAATATTCAATAAATAATTCATGCTAATTCTTCAGCAGAAAATACTTCCAAAAAATGAAGAAGAGGAAACACTTTCCAATTAATTCTAGAGCCCAGTATTACTGTAATACTAAGGCCAGACACAAGTATAATAGGACTGTGGGCAAATATGCCATATTCATATAGACACATACATCCTCAGAAAACATAGGCAAGCTAAATCCAGGCACATAAAATGTGAATATACACCAAGACCAAATGTGATTGTTTTGCAAATGCAGTTGTGACTTAATATCTAAAATTCAATCAAGATAATGCCCAATACTAGTAAAGAACAAAAAATGATTCTGTAAATAGGCACAGAGAAAGTTACAAAAATCAAGCATCCATTCCTGACAAAACCCCCAGCAAACTACTGATAGAATAAGATTTTGAGACCCACTAAGAGGTATCTATGAAAAACCTATAACTAACGTCATACTTAACGGTGACAGACTTGTGCTTCTTTACCTGAAAGTTTGAGAAGGCAAGAATTTCCACTTTAACCACTCTACTCAGCAGTGTACTGGAGGTATTAGCCAGGGAAATTCTACAACAGAAAAAAAATTGTCCAGATTTAAAATAAAAATAGAACTGTCATTATTGCAAATGAAATAATTTTCTGTAAAAAAAGGGATTCACTAAAATATGAGTAGAATTAATACACAAATTTATCCATGTTACAAGACAGAAAACTGGCATGCCAAAGTAGATTATGGTTTATATAAAAGCAACCAACAATTAAAAATAAAATAAACAATTCCATTTATAATGGTATCAATAAAAAACATTAAGAGAAAAAATTTAAGAGAGGTACAGGAATTTTACACAATTTGTAATGCTGAAAGAAATCAAAGATAAACTGAAAAATAACTGGAAGTCATCTTATGTTCAAGGATGGTCTGTTTCTAAGACAAAGGACACATGTTTGAGGGGATGGATACCCTACCCTCCAGGATGTGAGTGATTATTATGCACTGTATGCCTGTATCAAAACATCCCATGTAACCCATACTTATGTATACCTACAATAATTTTAAAAATACTTAATATTATTCGGATAACAATACCCTATAAATTGATTTACAGATTCAATGTAATCCCCTCAAATTTCCAAGTGTATTTTTTTAGAAATTAGAAAGTCTCTCACTCCTTTAAATCAATATATATGTACAGAAAATCAAATTGCACAAAACAATTTTTTAAAAAGAAAAACATAATCAAATGACTTGTACTTCCTAATATCAATTCTTACTAGAAAGGATAGAGTAGGATTCCGCAGTTTCTTCACATTTTCCGTATGTTCTGACCAAGAATACACAGACACTTGACTGCTCTGTTATTCCGTGGCCTGGACACCTGCATGCTTTCCCCTGCAGACCTGAACCCAAGCCAGGGCCCTGACCATTCAGACATCAGTAAAGGTGTTGTGTTTAGGTTGTAATTCGAAACACTTAAAAGAAAGTATCCCTGGTCCTGGAACAGATTCCTTAAGCTCTACTATAAACTGCATAACCAGACCCCTCACTGCAGACATATCTAGAAAAAGCATCCGTGGTCTCCTTTTCTCCCAATAAGATGAGCTGCAGCGCCCACTGTGGGTACATCCCTTAAGAAATGCTTTGGGATCATGATACCAGGGTTTAGAGTTTACTTCTTTGTAATCCTAACCCCCTTTATCTCAGAACAGTCTGGGGAAGTCCCTTGTGAAAATTCCCCTGTGGTCACCTTTGGGGCAACTCCAGGTAAGAGCTGAGCTGGAGGAAGAAGTAGGGGAGTCAGCAGAATTTTAAGGAATGAGCTGGGGAAAAGAGGATCCCACTGGGAGATCCTGAGATGCTTGCAAGGGTCTGTGTGGGCTTTGTTGCCTTTCCCTCCCTGATGCATGCGAGCAGCCCCAGAGATGCTGAGACGCTCCAAAATCTCCAGCAGGATACAGGAGGCTGATGGAGGGTCTGAAATTGCAAAGGGTCAGTAAGGAAGTCTGGTGCTTGGACATACAGGGACAGAACTGGTTGGCATCAGCCATGGCGGCCTTCATATTAACAGGCAGGGGAATTGCTTAAAACAGGGAGGTGGAGGTTGCAGTGAGCCGAGATGGCACCACTGCACACCAGCCTGGGCAACTGAGCTAGACTCCATCTCAAAAAAAAAAAAAAGAAAAAAAAAAGAAAATGGGGGTTGAACACAGGTGGCTCAGGCCTGTATACAGTTCCAGCACTTTGGGAAGCTGAGGCAGAGAGATCACTTGAGGCCAGGAGTTTGACACCATCCTCGGCAGCATAGCAAGATCCCATCTCAACAATAAAAAACAAAGAAATTAGCTGGGCATAGGGGCAAACGTCTGTAGTCCCAGCTATTTGGGAGGCTGAGGTTGGGGGATTGTTTGAGCCCAAGGGTTTCCAGCTGCAGTGAGGCATGATCAAGCCACTGCACTGCAGCCTGAGTGAGAGAGCAAGAGCTTGTCTCTAGGAAAAAAAACAAAAGACATGCAAGTTTTCACCACCTTCTGAGAGTAATCGACTTTCAGGAGGAATAAAGAAGGAAAAAAAAAAAAGACCACTAAATGGTTGAGGGTGTGTTCCTGGTTAGGCTCAGTTGCTAGCTGAGTAGTATCTGAAAAATTCATTAGTAAAACTACAGCCCTAGGGATGAGTCATGAAGTTAAATGATGAATGTTAAATTCATTAGAAACGCCCATGGTCTTTCTTTACATGAATTCCAGTGAAAAATTCCTAAGTGCCTAAATAGTAAGGGGTCTGAAATGATAGCAGCTCTTTACTAAAGACTAAAAAAGGAAATGGCATCTTCAAGAATCATGAGAGAGTTCCATGCTGAAGAAGCTCTAATTTTGCATTTGCTCAAGTATTGATTTGATTTGGCTAATATGACACTAATCTTAGGTAAAGTGTGCAAACAACTCCATCTCCTCATTAATAAAAACTGAGTAGGTAGTCTAGTATCAATTCTGATTTTTAAGAAGCGAGTTAGAAAAGAATTATGGAATCAATAAGATGTTTGAATAGTTAGTTACAAGCTATTCAAAGGAGAATTCAAAAAACCACACAATATGAGGACATAAAGTATGAAATAAATTTCACTAATATATTTAAAAATAAACTGATTAGACAGGCAACAACTGGGCACAGGTCTCCTCATCTCCAGCAACACAAACCCAGTCACGCAGCTATGGGGTTGAAAAGGCTGCATGGTCAAAAAGGAACTGGTCCGACTTTAGATTTTTTACTTTGCATTTTGAGACAGAGTTTCACTCTGTCACTCTGGCTGGAATGCAGTCCTGCACTCATAGCTAACTGCAGCCTTGATCACCTAGTCTCAGGGGATCCTCCTGCCTCAGTCTCACCATAGCTAGGACTACAAGTGAGCATCACAACTCCCAGCTATTTTTTTTTTTTTTTTTTTTTTTTTGGTGGAGAGAGAGACCTTGCTATGTTGCCCAAGCTGGTTTCAAAACTCCCACCCTCAAGAGATCTGCCCACCTCGACAACTGCAGTAACTGATTCTACAGACACACACCACCATGCCTGGATAATTACATGTTATTAATTTTTATTTGTGTAGAGAAATCTTGCTATGTTGCCAAGGGTGGTCTCAAACTCCCGGACTTAAAACAATTCTCCTATCTCTGCCTCCCAAAGTGCTGACACTACAGGCATAAGCCACTGCACCGGCCTGACTTGAGGTTTCTTTAATCTATCATCCCTTACTTCATATAATTGCGAAAGCCAGTACTGTTTTTTATTATTCTTATTATTATTACTTAGTATTTCAACAAGAATCAACCATCTCTCAGGACCGGGCGCGGTGGCTCACACCTATAATCCCAGCACTTTCAGAGGCTGAGGCGGGCGGATCACAAGGTCAGGAATTCAAGACCAGCCTGATCAATATGGTGAAACCCCATCTCTACTAAAAATGCAAAAATTAGCCAGGTGGGCTAGCAGGCGTCTGTACTCCCAGCTACTTGGGAGGCTGAGGCGGGAGAATCGCTTGAACCTGGGAGGCATAGGTTGCAGTAAGCTGAGATCACGCCACTGTACTCCAGCCTGGGCAACAGAAAGAGACTCTGTCTCAAAAAAAAAAAAAAAAAAATTCAACCATCTCTCACCATTGCCATGACCCTGGTCAGAAACACGTTATCTCCTGCCTGGATGTTGCCACATTCAGGACTCCTGTTTCTACCCAAATCTCCCCACAATCTTTCTCAACTCAGCAGCCAAGGGATGTTTTTAAATCAGAAGAAAGATCACGTTGCCTCTCTGCTCAGAACCTCCCGCAGTTCCCATCCCAGTCAGAGTAAAAGTCAAAGCCCCAGCAATAGCCTCCCAGGGCTTACACAATCTTTACTGATCTAAGCCCAACAACTCCCTGGCCTCCTCCCCTACTTCTCTTCCCCTTCCACTCCCCCCACTCGGCCCCACTGGTCTCTTTCCTGAGCTTCAGACACATCACGGAGTTCCCTTCTAGCAACTTTATCCTGTTGTTTCTGCCTACAATGTTCCTACCTCAGCACCTTGGCCAGCTGCTTCCCCCACTTCAAGTCTTTGCTCAATTTTCACTTAGGGCGACCCTGGCCACTCTATTTAATATTGCCATCTGTACCCATTCCTGCCATGCTCACTCCTTTTTTTTGTTCCCACAAAATCTCGCTGTGTCACTCAGGCTGGTGTGCCATGGCATGATCACAACTGAGACCTCGAACTCATAGGTGAAGCAATCGTCCTGCCTCAGCCTCTCTAATAGCTAAGACTACAGGTGCATGCCACCACACCTGCTAATTTTTAAAAAATATATATACGGCATCACTATGCTACCCAGGCTTGTCTTGAACTCCTGGGCCAAAGCAATCCTCCTGCCTCAGCTTCCTAAATACCTGGAATTATAGGTGTGGGCCACCACCCCTGGGTTCATGTTCATTTCTTCTTGCAGCTGTTACAAACTGCCCTACATTGAGTGCCTTAATACACCACAAATCTACCACCTAACAGTTCTGGGAGCCAGAAGTCCAAAATAGGTCAATTAAGGCTAAAGCCAAGGTGTCAGCAGGACTGCATTCCTTCTGGAGGCTCCAGAGAGGATGTGTTCCCTTGCCTTTCCCAGCTTCTAAAAGCCACCCCCATTCAATTGGCTCATGGCCCCTAACTGCATCTTCAAAGCCAGAAGCGAAGCATATTCAAATCTCCTTCTCTGACCTCTGCTTCCATCATCACATCTCCTCCAATTCTGACTCTCTTACCTCCCTCTTTCTCTTATAAAAACCCTTGTAACTGCTAGACACAGTAGTCGTGGCTCACACCCATAATTCCAACAGTTTAGGAGGTCAAAGCGGGGAAAGGCTTGAGGCCAGGAGTTCAAGACCAACCTGGGAAACATAGCAAGATCCCCAACTAAACAACAAAACCAAAAAGAAATAAGAAAAGAAAAAATTAGCTGGGCATGGTGGTATGCATCCGTATTTTCAGCTACTTGAGAGGCTGAGGTGAAAGGGTCGCTTTAGCCCAGGAGGTCGAGACCAGCCTTGGCAACGTAACAAGATCCCATCTCTACAAAAAAATACAAAAATTAGCTGAGCAAGGATGGTGTGCACCTGTAGTCCCAAATACTTCAAAGGCTGAGGCGGAAGAATTGTTTGAGCCCAGGTGGTTGAGGCTGCAGATAGATATGACTGCATCATTACACTCCAGTATGGGTGAGAGAGAGACACTCTGTCCAAAAAGAAAAAGAAAAGAAATACACATTTGGTTTCTGCCCTTATCCCGGCACAGAGCTTCTAAAGTTCTCATAAACTTCTCGGTGATAAAGGTGATAGGAGCATCTTCTGTTTCAATATTTGGTCTTAGTCCCAGGTTTCTAACACAAGAACCTCTAAGACCTTTGGGATCTCCACCATAGTAAGAATGCATTTGATGATGTTACTGAGATGACTGGGTGACTGAAAGCTCCTAGACAGCTTCAGGAGGAGGGCTGGTTGCCAGAAGAGCAAACCATGTGATTAGAGGCTTGGAACTGTCAGCCTCACCTACTGAGCTCCAGAAAGAAACAGTGGCTGAAGATTGACTTAATCAGCAACAGTCAACTGATTTCATCAATCATGCCTGCATAATGAGGCCTTCATAAACACCCTAAACAACAGGGTTTGGAGAATGTCTGGGTTGCTGAACACAAAGGGGATACTAAGAGGTAACATGCCCAATAGAGGGCATGGAAGCTCTGTGCCCCTTCCCACATACCCTGCCCTGTGCATCTATTTCCCTTTTTTTTTTTTTTTTTTTTTTTGAGACAGGGTCTGGCTCTGTCTCCCAGGTTAGAGTGGCACAATCGTGGATCACTGCAACCAGTATGCCTCCCTAGTTCAAGCCATCCTTTCACCTCAACCTCCTGAGTAACTACAAGTGTAGGCACATGTCACCGCACCAGGCTATTTTAGAAAAAAAAAATTTGTAGAGATGGGGTTTCAGTGTTGCCCAGCCTGGTCTTAAACTCTTGAGCTTAAGCGATGCTCCTGCTTCGGTCTCCCAAAGTGCTGAGAATACAGGCAGAAGCCCAGCATGTGTACATCTCTTTCATTGGCTGTTTCTGAAATATATCCTTTACAATGAACCAGTAATAGAAAGTAAATTGGTGAGATCCAGTGGCTCACGCCCATAATCCTAGCACTTTGGGAGGTTGAGATGGGAGGATCATGTGAGCCCAGAAATTTGGGACCAGCCTGGGCAACATAACAAGACGCCATCTCTACAAAACATAAAAGAACATAGCCAGATATGGTGGTGCAGGCCTGTACTCTCATTGGGAGGCTGGGGCAGGAGGATCACGAGTCCAGGAGTTCAAGGCTACAATGAGCTTTGATCACACGGCTGAATTGCAGCCTGGCAACACAGTAAGACCCTGTATCTCAGAAAAAAAAGAAAATAACCTGTTTTTCTGAGTTCTGCAAGCTGTTCTAGCAAATGATTCAACCGAAGAAGGGGGCCATGAGATCCTGGTTTCTAACTGATTGGTCAAAAGTACATCTAACAACCTAGGACTTGCAATTGGCATGTGAAGTGAAGGTAGTCTTGTGGGACTGAGCCTCTATCCCGAAGGGTCGGCACTAACTCCAGGTAGTGTCAGAATGCAATTGGGGGATACCCAGTTGGTATCCAGATTGTCCGAAAACTGGTGTAGAATCTCCACATGCACATTTGGTTGGAAGTGTTTGACCACAGCTACTATTCAAGAGAAAGAACTACTCATTATTAAAAAAAAAAAAAACATAAAATTATGTTCTACAAAAAACAAATCAACCTTATCTACAGCCCAGTCCTACTCAAATATGGAATGTTAGAACAAAAAGTCTCATCATGGACTCGAGAGCTGACATCAGGAATGTCACAGCCATCCTGCTCTCTGAGAACTCATCTTCAACAGGCAGGGGGGACACTGCAACTTGGGCCATGATCCCTGCGCAAGTAGTAAAAAAATGAGTAGTAGAAATCCAGGGTCCTAAACCCATATCCAGAGCGGTAAGAGTTTTTCACCGGCTGGCTAATTTACAGTGGTCTTGCATCAGAGGAAAAATAAGGCTCAGAAACTAGGTATTCAAGTTACCCAAAACTCTCATCAGATACAGAATCCATCTGCTAACTTTCTATCTAGTATTAATTCCATAAAGTTAGAAAAATATCACTCCAAAAATAAATCCATATGGCACCTAGCATCAATGCATTTCTCCCAAGTAAAAGAGGAGGCAAGGTGCTTTACAACTCAGTGATGGGCTACCACAACACAGGACAGTGGTACAAAGCTCCCTTTCTCCCCCGCATAACCCAACACAGAAAAGAGTGGGTGCAGTGGAATGAGGCTGGGTGAAGAGAAGTTCCTCTTCTTACTGAGAAAATAGATCACAGGGCATCAAGTAACATGTAAAAGTCTTTACAACAAGGCATTTTTTTAAAAAACATTTTCTAATATTTTGGTATCAGGAAAACCCTCAGATGAATTTCAAACACTATAAAAATGCAATACATAAACAGAAAATATTAACTGTTAACAATAATAGAGATAAATTGGAACCTTTATGGATTGCTTTTTGGAATGTAAAATGTTACAGCCCACTGTGGAAAACGGTTTGGTAGTTAACATATTAAGCATAGAATTACATGATCCAGCAACACCCTTTAAGCTCTATACCCAAAAGAACTAAGAGCAGGGACTCAAACAGGTATTTGTACACCCGTTTAATAGCAGCATTATTCACAGTGGCCAAAAGGTAGAACCAGCCCTATGCCCATCAGTAGGTGAATAGATAAAGAATATGTAATATACACATACGCAGAATATTATTCAGGCATTTAAAAAAAAAAAAACTCACCAGGTTCAGCAGCTTACACCTGTAATCCTAGCACTTTGGGAGGTCAAGGCGGGCTGGTCGCTTAAGCACAGAATTTTGAGACCAGCCTGGGCAACACGGCAAGACCTCACTTCTACAAATAAAATTTTTTTCTTAAAAAAGGAAATTCTGATAGTGTTACGAGCCTTGACAGCATTATGCTAAGTGAAATAAGCCAGACACAAAAGGACAAATATTGTACAAGTCCACTTATATAAGGTATTTAGAATAAACAAATTCATAAACAGAAAATAGAATAGTAATTGCCAGGGGCCAGGAGGAGGGTTCAATGGGGAGCTATTGCTTATGGGGTACAGAGCTGCAGTTTAGAATGATGACAAAGCTCTGGAGATGGAGAGTGGTGATGGCTAACAATGCGGATGTGCTTAAAACACCAGGGACCTGTGTGCCCTTAAAAATGGTTAAGTGTTATTTTGTATTATGTATATTTTATCAAAAAATAAAAATAAAACACCAAAACAGTACACCACATAAGGACGTACTAAGATGGCAAAATCTAAAGCAACTTTTTAAAACCCAGATAGTTTTTCTGTAAACAGCATACGAATTAAATGCTTATTAAAAATTTGCCCCTTTAATTTAGTTGAATTAATTCTACTTTCAGAGATTAAATAATTAAATACACTTAATTGGAAGCATAACTGAAAAGCTAAACACTGAATGCAGGAAGAGGAACTGTAAAAACACATCTATGTACATAAACTAATTTACTGACAACACTCGAGTATCCCTTAACTAAAGCCCCAGTATTACAGAGAAGATGGACAAGCACTTGAAAAGCTGTCAGCAGGAAACTGTTATACCTAAAAATGTCAATAAATCTGCATTAAAGAGAATGTTCTATTTTTCTATTATTAAAGGTTGTCACCTAGCGTTACCATCTGTTACCATGTGCACTGACTACTAGGCCAGATTTAGACATCAACAAGTAATGAAGCATACATACTTAGGAAGTTACAATTTATAATAAAAACTATGATCAGAAAAATAGTATTTGCATCATGAAGACCTTCAGTTACCACTTAGTTTTCATCCTCATAGGCTTTATTGATCAATATAGTAAAGAGGTATATTAACTCTTATAACTTAAAACAACTTGTTGCCTAGGAAAGCATACCAAAAAGAATCATCTTTTATTTCCAAGACAGGTGTTTTAAGAATAATATAATCTGTAAAAGAGAATAGACATACAACAGGCCAGGCATGGTGGCTCACGCCTGTAATCCCAGCACTTTGTGAGGCCAAGGCAGGCGAAATCACAAGGTCAGGAGATCGAGACCATCCTGGCCAACACGGTGAAACCCTGTCTCTACTAAAAATACAAAAATTAGCTGGGTGTGGTGGTGCGTGCCTGTAATCCCAGCTACTCAGGAGGCTGAGGCAGAAGAATCCCTTGAACCAGGGAGTCGGAGGTTGCAGTGAGCTGAGATCATGCCACTGCACTCCAGCCTGGTGATGGAACAAGACTCCATTTCGAGGAAAAAAATAAAAAATAAAAATACAACAAATACAGTAACACATAAAATCTCTTTTAACCTTCTGCTGGTCCTTCAGTTGCTGCTGGTACTGTTCCGTCATTGCCTTCTGAAGAATGATGGCTTCCTAAAAAGAAAATAAACATATAATAAACCAATAAAAACTCACAGTGAAAGACAAAAGAGAATCTAGATAACAATGCAATCATTTTTAAGATATAATAAACATGAAAAATGATTTTTTAACTCAATGGAAAAAATACTTTCTAATTCAGAAAAAATTATAACACTTCTATTTGGAAGCTAAAAAATATTATTTTAGAATACAAATACAGAGTAGACCAAAGTAGGTTTGTGGATTTAACATTAGTTACTGTAACTGTATGATAAAATTACTGGATATTGCAACCTGAAGAAGCACAATTATGCTTCAAGTACCATGCTCATCTGTCTCACTCACACATACACACACACACACACACACACACCCCGAAGTGTGAATGCTTGCTTTGCTCAGACACTTAATTAACTTTCTATAAATAAGTTCAGGGTTTGCTGTAGAATGCTTCCTGCTTTCCATTTTCACTATGGTGAAAGCTATGGAAACTCGATCCCCATAATTTAATCAAAGTTGTACTTAAAGTAACTCATAAGTAAAATTTAAGATCCTATCTTCAGTATCAAGAAAACATTTTAATCCGGGTAATATAATCTGCTTGCTTCTAAAAACTGGGACATAAAGCAACAGATCAGTTAGGCAGTCACATGGTAAACAGGTTTATCCTACTGGAGCAGAAGTTTATTCACAAATAGGAAAGAAAGAATCTAAGATTATCAGAGCTCCAGTAAGGATTAAGACCACAAGTTGCCCCTAGTATACATCCACTGTCCTTAAAGATCTGAGCTACTAACATGGAAAAGATTGAAAAACACTGCCTTCAAGTATAAATAAAATGTATTACATTTCGGAAGAATACATTGCTTAGGGGGAAGGGAAGCAGATGCTCATCTATTTTGTCCTATCTATTGATAAATAAAGTCAGAAGCTGTACTAAAACTAAAATAAAAGTTATACATACATTTTCTCTTAATTTTTAAAGAGTAATGATTAGTCTGAAAAACTCATTTGGTGGTTACTGTTCTTGAATTAAAAGTGCCATACTGAGGTGAAATCTTTTTGGTTTTCAATACCTAGCTTTATTATGTCACAATTATCTTGGGATTCTTTTCAACTTACTGCATATTGTGAAAACTCACCTGAATTCACAACTCTAGGTAAATCTACAAACATCTGTGAATCCATCTTTAATTAACTTCTAAAACACACTTTCTCTGCACACATTTCCTTTCTCTTTTTTTAACTTTAATATTTGGATTTAGGAAGCATTAAGTTCTTTGACTGTAAAGTCAAAGAAAAAGAGATATGAGGTCAAAGGAATGATAGATAATAAAGAAGAGGCCGGTAATTAAAAAGTAAAATTTCAGTAAAGAATGACAGTTAAGATCGTTGTTCATGTTACTACCTGAACACCAAGGGTTTGGTCCAGGTCCTGCTGCTCACCAGACAGTAACTAGTCATTGAGGTGACAAGTATTACCAAGCAAGAAAGCTTTAACCTGGTGCTGCAGCCCAGGAGATAGGGGCTCAGTCTCAAATTTATCTCCCTGACTGACTAAAACTAGGGTCAGGAAAGAAATGTAATAATGTGTAAGAGAACAGAAATTAGAGAGGGGCAGGAGGCAGCTGGTGCTGAGATCTGATATTTTTCAGTTATTTGATACTTACTGAAGGTCTTTTTTTGAGGAGAGAACTCAGATAAAACAGATACAAGTTTCAAGGTTTAACAGCAGGGTCAACTCTTACGTTGATCCAAACAAAACCCTATCCATGGGACAACTGGGCCGGTGTCAATGTAAGCAATAATTCTATAGGTCCTTTTTGTTTAAAATCTGAACAATTAAATTTATATTATATGCTAAACATAAGGAAAATACATCTTATGTACTCAAGGCCAGAAGAGATAGAAGTAAAACCTACTACTAATAGCCTATGAGTGTCAAGTTTGGGAACACTATAAAAATTACAAAAAAGTAATAAATGCATAAAAGTTACAAATTAACAAGTGCTATTTCAGAATTCTTCTAAATACTAAGTACATGAACTTACTAATATTTGCATTACTAACCACACAATAAGAACCCGACTTCTGACTATTCTGAGATAAGGTATAAACGTGTACCTTTACCTTAAATGGGAAAGGGTGTCTTGTACCCACTCTGAGATTAGTGAAAGGGAAAACTGATTTGAAAAATGTTTGCTTGTCAAGTTCATTTATATGTTAAGAAAAGGTCAATACAATTTTTCCTTTTCAATGTAGAAAAGTAATACATAATACTATAGTTATAAATACTAAAACACAGTCTGTGGAATACAAGAAAACATTAAATACAAACACTACGTAGGAAAATGGAGGTAAAAAGATGATACCTTGCAAAGACTTCAGTAGAAGATTTTTATCAACGTCATCGCTTTCAAAAGGGCATGTTTTAGGATACAAAGATAATACTTCAACAGTAACCCTCCCTCCCCAGGCTAGAGGCAGTGACTTATGCCTGCAATTCCAGCACTTTGGGAGGCCAAGACAGGCAGATCACTTGAGGTCTGGAGTTCGAGACAGACCTGGCCAACAGAGTGATACCCCATCTCTACCAAAAAATACAAAAATTAGCTAGGTGTAGTGGCATGCACTTATGTAGTCTCAGCTACTCGGAAGGCTGAGGCAAAAGAATCCCTTCAACCTGAAAGGCGGAGGTTGCAGTAAGCCCAGATTGCACCACTGCACTCCAGCTTGGGCGACAGAGTGAGAATCTGTTTTAAAAAAAAAAAAAAAAAAAAGTCATGTTTACATAGAGTTAGGCTGCACAGCTCACTCTCTTAACCATCCTGTAATTCTGCCCACTCTATGCTATGCTCAGTCACTGACGCACTTGTTTGGTAGCTCCCTTAGAGCTTAGAACCTAGGTTTTATGTCCTGCTCTACAGCTATATAATTTAACAATTTTCCTCTTGAGTTTGTTGGATTCTAACCCTATATATAACAAATCTTATTAATAGTACTGAATCTTAAAGGAGGCTGTGATGTCTTTAGTCCCTAGAAATATTAAACAACCTATAAACAAACGACCATATGAGAGTAAACAATCCAAATTTCTACATGCTTTAAAACACTGAGGCAATGTACTGAGAAACACACCTAAGAAACTGCAACCAATCTACTCTGGACAAAAATTTAGACACTGTCTCTTCAAAATAAGCTATCTGGTGGTACTTATGCATATTCTTACATATAGCAACAGTATTTTACATGCCATAACCTTAAAATAATTTTAAAAGTGTCAAAATTATAAGCCTTAATCCATCTCTGTGGGCTTGAAAAATGATACAATATACATTTGTTTCTTTAAAGTATTCAATAAAATGCATAAACTTCTAGAGCAATCACTGAAAAAAGGGTTCATACTAAAGGTTGTAATACTAGGAAAGAGGGCTCAGTACTGCAGGTTCTTAAAGGCAAAAGTTAATAAAGCCTTGCTTTTGGTTGTGAATCCTGGCCTTAAAACATTATTCACATGATCTCCCCTTCCTTTTCCTATTGTAAAGATGTGGTGACAACCAGGTTTGCTCATGCAGATAATAATCTTGAAAACAGTGGCAGAGAAATAACATGAAGGGAATATAGTTTACTTAATGACCTCCTAAATTGGAACTTATTACCCCATGCCTCTTGCATATCTCCAGACTAATATAAAAGAGGTATGAAATGGCTGTTTCCTACCAGTATTTTATTTGATGCTTCATTTTTTTTTTAATTACTTGTATAACTACCTACAATGCGTTAACAGGAACAGGAAAGCATAGCTATTCAAGTAACTAAATAATTATATAAATCTCTAAGACATAGTAATGGACCAATTATTTTTAAAGTACAACACACTGACAAGTAGTTTATTTTTAACTCAGTTTTGGTTTGGGAAAAAGCAAACAAAAGCAGGAGGAGGTGAAGGAGAAACAAGAATAGGAACAAGAAATAGAACCAGCAGCATAAGCAAGTAAAGAGGAACGAGATGATGATGATGAGAATAAAACAGACTGGAAGAAAGGAAAAAGAACAGGTGAGGGAACCAGAAGGCCTATTATGATACCTTTTTTCCCCTCCTTGATTCATGAAAACTGAAAAAGTTCAAGACTTTTTTACAACAACAACAAAAAAAAAACAAGCAAAAAGATACACAATCACCCCCTAAATTTGTTAAGACTGAGATAATGCTCCATTCACGTCTGGCTCAGGTGCCAGCAGAAGAAGGGACCTCCAGATTCTACAGAAGAAGGGGGAGGACTCCTCCTTGCCCTGACGGCACCTCCACTGCTACCACCGAGGCCCACGGCACAGCACCCACAGCTTCCTACCCATGCCAGGCCAGGTGGCTCCGCAGCGCTCCTACTCCCACTTCCCAGGACCCCAGACTTGCGGCTGCTGCCACCACTAGGGCCAATGCCAATACAACCACCGCTGCTGTCGCCCTCGATGCACTGGCGCTCCCTACAAGGCTCTTACCACCTGGCCACAGCCACAGCCCTGCCCCCAACCTGGCCACAGACGGCGGCCCTCCTACCTACTCCTCCAAAGCACCAGCCACCGCAGCGAAGCCAGCCGCCACGTCCCAGGCTCCAGGCTCCAGCCTTCACTTTCCAGCGTGTGGCAGGTTGTTCCTCCTTCTGGGCACGGAGCAGCTGAGCAACAAAGTCAGAAAAGCCTAGAACATGATGCAGGGAGTGGTAACGTTAGAGCCTAACCTCGTCATAGTGGCCACTGGGTGGCAGTGACAGGTTTCAGTTAACTGGAGACTCCACAGTGGCCTGCTCCCCATCCACAGGAGCCGTTGGGCCCACCGGGGCTGCGGCTCCTCGGCGAGCAAGAACAGCAAAACTCACACCCAGCCACCACCACCCCGCCTGCCCTGTCCCCCCTCCCCGCGCCCCCGCCCAATCCGAGTGCCAGTTTCCGTTCCTAACGCCTCCACCCACAGGGCCCTGTCCCCCATGACGCCTGCTACTCCGTGTCCAGGGATCCCAGGTTGTCTCAACACAGAGCAAGAGGACGCAGACCCGGGAACCATGACGGGTGTCGGGGCCCTGCCATGCTCCTGATTCCCATGGAAACGCTGTGCCCCACCGGGCTAAATCCACGAGCAGTAGGAGGTCTCCCTCTAGATTCTGGAGCCTGGCTCCTTCCTTGGAGGCCACCGCTGTGGCGGCCACCTTTGCCACCACCAGCAGTGTAGCCCTCGATAGTGTCCCGAACACCCCCACACTCCCAGGAAGTGTAACCACCGATAGCGCCCCCAACCGTCCTCACCTCGAGCACCAATAGCGACCCCAAACCGCCCCCATACCGGAAGAAATGACGCCTAGAACAGCGCCCCAACCCGCCCTCCGTCCCCGAGCACCACAGCCCTGGATAGCACCCAACCCCTCCCAGCTGCAGGCAGTGATGCCCGGAATAGCGCCCCCACGCAGTGGGCAGTACAGTTGAGGATACGCACCTACCGTGGCCGCCTTTCTACCACTCCGGCAGCTGTGCCGTCTCTGTTGCAGCCACCAGCCTCAGCGAGGCGAGCCGCTGTGCCACAGGCTCCGGCCTCCAGCTTGCGTCAGCGAAACCACCTTCTCCTCCCGCTATAGCACCGTACCGAGCCAGCTGCTAGTCCCCCATCTTACTGCTCCGGCTGCACTTCAGTCTCTGTTGTTGCCACCAATGTTCTGATTGGATGAAGAAAACCTCTAGGCTTATTCTGATTGGGCTTTCCTATCATGTTCTGATTGGTTAGCCTAAGGCTTGCTCTCATCCAATCAGAACATGTAGTCCAGGAACCTTGGTATATAAAGCCTGCTAAGCGGGAGTCAGCCCGTTCCAGGCTCTTTTGCTTCTGTGTGTTCTGCTGGTGTGTGCCCAGCTTAGAAGTGGGGAAGGGGCTGGGCATGGTGACTCATGCCTGTAATCCCAGCACTTGGGAGGCCGAGGCCGGTGGATCACGAGGTCAAGTTTAAGACCAGCCTGGCCAAGATGGTGAAACCCCGTCTCTGCTAAACATACAAAAATTAGCCGGGAGTGGTGCTCCTGTAGTCCAGCTACTTGGGAGGCTGAAGCAGGAGAATCGCTTAAACCAGGAGGCGGGAGGTTGTAGTGAGCCAAGATCGCGCCACTGCAGTCTAGCCCAGGTAACAGAGCAAGAATCCATCTTGGAGGAAAAAAAAAAAAAAAAAAAAAAGGAAGGGGGAAAGAAAGAGCCACCTGCTGCATGCTGGAGGCTGTAGCCTACAGCTGCACAGCTGGGCTCACTGCAGTGAGTGGCAGTGATGCAGCATGGCAGGAGCAGTAGGATCTGGATGATTTCCAGCTTCATCCATGTCTCTGCAAAGGACATGAACTCATTCTTTTTTATGGCTGCATAGTAGTCCATGGTGTATATGTGCGACATTTTCTTTATACACCAAGCAATAAGATTTATCATCTGGAGGCCAGGTGCAGTGGCTCACGCCTGTAATCCCAGCACTTTGGGAAGCCAAGGCAGGCAGATCATGAGGTCAGGAGCTCGAGAACCAGCCTTACCAAACACGCTGAAACCCCATCTCTACTAAAAATACAAAAAAAAATTAGCCAGGAGTGGTGGCGCGTGCCTGTATTCCAGCTACTCAGGAGGCTGAGGCAGGAGAATCACTTGAACCCAGTAGGTGGAGATTGCAGTACCTGAGAATGAGCCACTGCACTCCAGCCTGGGAGACAGAGGGAGACTCCATCGCATAAATTAATTAATTAATTAATTAAATTTATCATCTGGGGTATCAGGCGAGAGGACTAGCTAGGTTGGGTACATGGAATTAGAATTCCTGAATGAAGAATTCAAAATTAAAGTTAAGAATATTATTGGTCTATTATAGCATTTACAGAAAGGCCAAAGAGACAATATTCCAGACTATAGAGGTTAGAGAAATCAAGTTATCTATCTTAAGAGCACATTTTGTATTTTGTTTTTTTTTTTGAGACAGAGTCTTGCTCTGTCACCCAGACTGGAGTGCAGTGGCGTGATCTAGGTCACAGCAAGCTCCACCTCCCGGGTTCATGCCATTCTCCTGCCTCAGCCTCCTGAGTAGCTGGGACACATGTGCCCGCCACCTTGCTCGGCTAATTTTTTGTATTTTTAGTAGAGAAGGTTTCACTGTGTTAGCCAGGATGGTCTCGATCTCCTGACCTTGTGATCCACCCGCCTCAGCCTCCCAAAGTGCTGGGATTACAGGCGTGAGCCACCGCGCCAAGCCCAGCCTCCTTTTCTTTCAATTTTGGCATAACACAGAACTCAGCAAAACTTTGACAGTAAATACTATTTACAATATTATTGTCTTCTCTATCTACTTGTTTATTTACTGAGAAAAAAATGTCAGCGTAATCACAGAAGCAACCTAATGAATAAACTACACCTTGATTATAAGAAAGAATGAAAATTGATTCATCTTCTTGAATACAGAGTTTTAAAAATTCTTAAGTGAACTATGGCTTATTGAGTACATCACAATACTTTTCTGTTACAAAAACAAAGACAAATGACTGCTTTGGGGTTATTTCCCCAAATAGCTTCCATGGGTTTTCTCCATCTGGTACATTGCAAAACTTCTTTTAACACCTAAGCCCTCAGGAGAATTTCACAGCCGCTTTGTAAATCCTGGAAGTTCAGGAAACTGCCAACACATGCTGACCATGCTAAGTCCCAGTCTCCTTGGAAAGGAGTCTTGATAGTAGTGGATCTCCCTGAGGAAGTCTCACATGGCAGAAACCAAGCGACTGTAACACAGGGTCTAGTTGTGCAGTGATCTGCCTCGCTCACTGTCCCTGGGGTCATTTCCTCAGCTGGGCACACACAGAATTATGGCTTTCTTTGACAGAGTTCTTTTGTATCATACGTACCTATGTTAGAGCCATTTGACTCCCTTCATTGTTGGTGGTCTCCAAGCATAAGAAGAATATTATAGGTCAGGCATGGTGGCTCATGTCTGCAACCCCAGCTCTTTGGGAGGCCAAGGAGGAAGGATCACCTGAGGCCACGAGTTCGAGACCAGCCTGGACAACACAGAGAGACCCATCTCTACAAAAATTTTTAAAAATTAGTTGTACATGGTGGTGCCATGCATGTAGTCCAGCTACTTGGGAGACCGAGGCAGGAGGATCACCTGAGCCTGGGAGGTTGAGGCTGCAGTGAGCTATGATCACACCACTGCACTCCCAGTCTGGGCAAGACAGTGAGCTCCTATTCAAACACAACAGCCTAAACAACAAAAAACGTAAAAAGAATATATAAATGGGAGAATGTGTCTTGAACTCACCCACTCGAAACTCGAGGACATCCAAATGACAGTCTTGGTGACTTTCTAGGTAAAAAATCTTCAAAATGATTAATAAATAGATGATTTTCCTAGATTTGGATTGCTGAGAGTTCATTCACAGTTTAGGTTTGTCGAGTAATTCCTGACTCCATCATAGCCAGGAGAAGTAAAGTTTCCTTCAGAAGTGTTTGGAAGAGACCCACCAACACTAAGAAAACAGAAGCAACAGAGAAAAGTGGGTAGTAAGATTCAGGCCACAACAGAAGAGATAAACAATACAGGAATAGTAACTAAACATCAACATTACTGGCTTTGATTTTGTTATTTCTAGATGCAGTCAGGTTATGTTATGGGTAAAGCATGCAAATTATGGAAGTTCTGCAAGTTTATAAAGGAAAATGTGCAAAAATCAGTTCCTATCTTCCTGTTGGTGTAGATTAGGTGGCTGGGTTTGGCTCTGTATCAATAAAGTTAAAATATTGAGCTATGTTCATTAATATTTAATTTAGAGGAATACCCAAATATAATGGTGGAAGGTCCTAATGGCTTGATTAGCAATTCTCCACTTGATCTAATAATTTAATTTAAATCAAAAAAATTAGGACATTGACCTACCAATGAATTTGCCCCCTTTTATAAAGTAATAGATGCTTCTTGTACCAATGAAATAATTAGTGGTTTTTTTAATATTCACTCCACTTCTAAATTTAAAACCCTTAGGTAATAGCACCAATCCAGGAAATAGGAGGATATTTATAATTAGAACCATATCTTGCTTAATTTTGAATATTCTATATCAAAATCAAACTCCCATTTATTTTCACGGAAATACGTGTGTGAATAGATGACTAGAAACAATAAGGCCTGTTCTGTCCCCAGCAAAATTAATTATCTCCGAGACTAAGCTACCTTCTAGGAGGTAGATGCTCTCTTTCCGCACCAAATAATTGACCAAGGACTAGGGACAGGTCCCAATCTTCATGGTAACACGACTGAAACTGTGCTAGAAGTTCATCTAATGGCATTAAAGTTTTAATTCACCACAGCAGTTCTTCCTGAAATCAGAAAGCTTTTTCTGTCTGCAGTAAGTTTTTGATTGCTTATATGTGTTTGTCTTATGCAAATATTTCAAGTGAACTTTGATCACTAAAGGGAAATGGATGGCTCTCTGCCATTGGCAGTAGCTGGGGGGCTCTGCAATGCACCTGAATCAAAATGAGGACATTTACAACATCCCACATTATCTGCATCTTCACTGGAGGTATAAGAAGCAGTGAAGCCTCCATATGGCCTGGATCCATCCATGTGAAAAAAATACTTTCATTGTGTTTCCTGAAG